CCCAGGATTGCATAGTTGTGGCTTGTGAATAGCTTTCATTTTTCACCTGGAAGTAGATGCGTTGGTTCCACGGTGCTTGTTTTGGGGTGGCCCAAGACAGGGGGTGGCCCAACTCGGGGTGGGTCGACTTACCGGCTATTAGCGGGCCTTTTAGACCGCGATTTTACGTATATATGTTGCGACCACGTCACGAAGGGACAGGAGGGCTGGGACCAAACCCCAGCGGGATGCCTCAACCCCGCAGTTACGTTAGCGTAACATCAGGTCACGTGACGGCAAGGGTCGGTAGGAGTGATCTTAGAGTCTCAGGCAAGATCGTGAGATCACTTTGATCTTAGGATCTGAAACAAGATCGCAAGATCGCTTGATCTTGTGATTGCGGCTAAGATCACAAGTTAGCACGGAAGGATGTCAGGTATAAAGGAGCAGACCTTCTGTTCTAGATAGCTTTGACTGAGGCCTCGGCATCAGTCAACCTAAGTTAGCTTCAAGGCACCCCCTTGAGCAAGCAATCGAGACCTCCGTTACCAGACCCAGTATCCAGCACAAGGCGACCTTGTGGACCAGCACTGCTCAGCACCTCTCCTAGTGTGCCCTACCATAGGAGCAGAAGAACCGTTTGTAACAATATAACGCCTCCCAAACGCGTAGGGATCAACCTCAAACGCTACTCCGTGTTGCAACTGTGGGTCACACTGGGGTTCCTATTCCTAGGGATAAAGGTGCTTGGGTCAGAGGCGATAGATACGAATGGAATGAACCTTCCCCACCTACTTGACATGAGAAACAAGTCATAGCTACCGCCCGAGCCGGATGTACACCTCACCCTTGACGCATGGAAGGCGATACGCGTCTACACTTTGGCTAGAATTACCCGCCTAGGCCACACTAGAATCTAACATCTGCTTAGGCTTGGAATTTCCGAGTCTACTAGTAGTCAACCTATCTATCGGCTCGCCGTCGTCTGCCTTCCGCCTCCCCAGCCGCAATCCGCGCCTTCGGCCACACCAATAACCGAACGAACCAATAACTATTCATTGCGGAACACACCGAATGTCACGTCCTGTGGCCCACAAAACAAAGCGCTAATCAGCACGCCGTCATAGGCTGCTATTGGTCGTTCAATGCTTCTCACCTTATAGTAAAGGCCACGACCAAAGCCGGCCCGACAGGAGTATTCGATATATTCGCCGATGCGTGCAGAAGAACAGACGATGGCCATGTAGTCGGCCCAGTCGTAGACTCTTGTTGCCGGTTTTTCGTATTCGACCCAATCGTTCCCCCACAGCTGATGGCCAAGATGGACGAAGTGGTTCTTCGTGCCAAACCTCCTAAGTCGTTTGCTCTTCACCAACCTGATCTTGCCTTCCTGTTTAAGTATCTCCGGCAACTCGGAGTTGATAAACTACGCCAAATAGGTCAGCTCGGCTTAGCTAGAAAGATAATGAATTGCTCCGTGGGAAAGGGCTGACGTACATTTGTCACACTCAGTGTGATATTAGCGGGAATGGCCTCATGTTCACGGCGCCAACCGGCCATGAACTGCTTCCAGTATAGCATGACTGTTCCTCGCGCAGGGTTCGGATCGCCTTCTGCGCCATCGATGCCAAATGCAATCTCCTTGACGAAGTCCTTCAAGAATTTAACCTTGTAAGGGCTTGGTTCGTCTTGAGCATGGTCTTCAGCGTACCTACATGGCCAACGTGTCAACAGTACAAATGGCTAAAACTGAATCCAGTGGGGAGAACTCACTGGTTCCAGAGGCCGATCACGCGTTCGTACTCTTTCAGCACCTTGGATGTGACTTGCTTGAAGACAGCAGAATCGTTGATCCTCTCATTGCATTGTTCAGAGCACCTCTCTCTCCCCTTGCTGAAGAATTCCCGCGGGTTTTTCTTTGGTGCCATTGCAGGGCTAGAGCCTCCTTTGTGGAAGCACGGCGAGGCAGGAGGGCCAGAGGGGTGTGGATCGCTACGAAGTAGGGACGGAGCGAATGCGGGCTGCTGCGAAAGCAGGCTGCTGCGACCTTCTATGGACACAGGTGATCGAAGCGCCAGCCCTCAGCAGCAGTAGGCAGAGGCCGACGACACCTGCGTGGCGTCCATCGGGTGGACAGCTGGGCAATGGGCGCCTGGACATGGCAGGAGAGGAGGGTGCTAGAAACTAGGCCTCTGGCCAATCTGGGCTCGTCCCCTCTCCTGGCAGCGGTGGCAGCATCCTCGTTCATGGCGGAAGTCGCGTAGAGTTGACAGGATCGAAGCGATGTTGGTGGTGAATGTGCCATCGCCGTGCGTTCCGCAGGAAGGAGGTGGTGTCGCGGTGGTTTTATGCCTGAGCATCCCTGAGCATCACTGAGCGGGGGTGACGCGAGCCTGAGCTGGGCCGCGATGCTGACTAACCCGATTGGGAGGCTTGGCAAGGTTTTGGGAGCCGACTACCTTTTGCCCCCAAATCCGGATTGAGTGCCAGCCCTGAGCTGCCGCAGATGCAACCTGAGCTGCAGGCAGTGCCAAGGTGGTCAGAGGTGAGTCACAGGGTGGTCAAGGTGATCAGCCTGAGCTAGCGCTTGGCATCGTTTCATGCACTCGGGTAAAGTTGCCACGAGTAAAGCGACAGTGCCCATACTTGGTTCCAGGTTCCAAGCTCACTGCCTGGATCCAGGCTTCAGGGTAGCTGGTAGGCGCCTACTGCCAGGCCACAACCGTGCAATCGTCAATCCGTCTCCACCGGCCGCCCTGTCGAATGGCTGCCTTGCATTGTGGCAGAAGCCGACTTCTTGAATTCACCTCAAGAGATTCATCGCCCAAAAAACTGTATATGAGCATTGTGGCACATAGCCAGCGTGATGTTGGCATTCGAAACGTTGGACAACCTTTTACCCCCAGTGGCCACGTCGCCCCAGCTCTAATCGCAATGCGAATCCCGGGATGCCAGCACCCCATGGCCCGAAGGACTTTCCACAATTCCCAAATCTTCTGACCGAACTTAGATGTAAAATCTGGAATTTCTCAGGCTTATGTGCGAACCGCGGGTTCTCAGCATTTGTTGGCGACCAGAGGGATTTGACAGACGGGAGATTGGTCCACAGACAGTCACAATAAGGGCATTCCTCCACATGCCACGAAAGCCGCGCTCTTGCTCTAAGCGCCTTTCCTGACGGAATGGCACTTAACCTCCCAGGGGCGCCGCCTTTGCTGCGATTCAACAGTAAAACAGACATCTTCTACGTTAGGAATCTCGTAGCTGGATTTTGTGCCCCGCGCCTCGATCTGATGGGAACCTTGGATTGATCGCAAAGTCACCATCCAGCGTTATGAACCTCGCATTGGACAGATTTGTAACGGCTTTTTTTTACGCGAGACCTTAGCACTGTCCCCAGCAGGTGCACAGAATGCGGGACACCCCAGTTGCTCCAGGGCCTTGCTCGGCTTCCCAGACTCAAAACAATCAACTGGGTGTGTGATTGCCAAACCGTTTCCAGTTTCCAGGATGTCATGAAACTCGAATGCTCCGTGCCCTTGGAATGTTCCGACGATAATGATAGCTACATTCGAGGAGGTGACAAAAGTGATTAACACACTCGATCCACGTAACTACGGTGTTTCAGAGGACGATATAACCCGCATGCGTGGAGTTGCAATGAAGACCGTGTTGTGCTTTAGAGGGAGCAGTGTGAGGACGTAGCGCCCGATGAAAATGGAGGGTGTCCAGGGCGAGATGACGACAAGCCGGGCATCGCGGTGGGAATAACAGCGGGAAGCCGCTGCGAGGGATGTCACGGCTGCAGGGCTTCATGTGGCACGAGACTTGACCACCTTCCCGCACTGACCTTTCGGGCCGCTGTACGCAGTAGATAGAAACGGTGGTGGTTAATACCGGAGCGATTCTTGAACTAACCCGAAGCTATTCGGAGTTGTTTGCAGAGGTGACAAAGGGAACACGTGATAGATGCAGGTGAGTGCTGTGGGTGCAAGTCCCGCCGCACATGCGCCGCCGCTGCGCTGTCAGGAGCTTAAATTGGCCAGAGGCCTGGTTCCTGGCCCCATCCCTTCCTGCTAGGGACAAGGGCATTGTGGCTGGCCACAAGGCTCGATAATGCAGAGGCCGTAGCAGAGTAACACACGAAGTGGCTCTGCAGATGGAGCAGCTCCATTTCAGGATGGACACCCCGCAGCATAGCATAAGAAGACGTCATGCCCCCGCGAAGGAAGGATTGGATTTCTTTCCTTTCTTTTCACACATTAAGCCAGCAGCTTTCAAATTCCACCGGGAGGAACTGCAAAAACAGGTTCGCAGCCATCCCCCGTGGTTTATGCATCCGTGGCAGCAGCACATGCTAACCAGCGGTGACTATTTAATAGCATTACTCGAATATGGAGGCCGCGAAATCAGCAGGCTGTCACGGCTCTGGCAATATCTAGCTAAGCCCAATCCAACTAGGTCAAAAGGACGAGAAAGTACAAGTCGTCCGACTTGTACCCCACGTTGGGCTTAGTACCTTGGTGCAAACGAGACATGGCTGCGTCTGGCCAACAAGGCACGCCGCGCCATGACAGCCGGCAACCTCCCCCCACCTGGCCAAAGCAAAGTGATCGCTGGATATGCTTATTTAGATGGGGATTTGGGTCAATTCCGAAGCTAGGAAGTGCTATTCTGCCACCTGGGGCCGCCTTACCACGCGAAAGGTTCCGGATTCCCTCCCGTATTAGCAATCTGCAACCGCCGCCTAACCTAGTAAATACAGGCCCCGCAAACCCCTTTAGCCTTCACAGCTTTCGCAAGCCCGTCTTCGGGATCTGAAGCACGTTAACCGTCAATGCTCATGAACTGAGTCTCCCTCTGCGCCCACTCTTCTGCAGTAGGAGCCTTATAGGAACCGAAGGTGTTTGACGCTGTAGTATGGTAGTTCCAGTAGTTCAGGACGCCTGCGGCGAAATCTCCATAACGTCGGATGACAGGCTGCATTGAGGACCACAGCTCCTTATCCGTACGCTTGGTAATGAGTAGGTGGCACAGGATCTCCTTCAAGGCCAGATCAGAGCGAGTCGTACAGCTGTAAACTTCTTCGACGACTGCGGGAAAGCCACGAGAATGCCAGCTGTCAAGACTATTGGCGCGATCGGCGGCTTTTTTAAACCGATCAATGCTCATCGTCTTCAGCGCAGGAACAATAAACTTGTCCGCCATGATGTAGATCTTAGCCTCGCTGAACAGGACCGCGCAGGTATTGTCGGTAGTTTGGGGCTCGCCTATAGCTGTTGGCAAAGTTGTTAGAACCTGAGTTGACTTGCGGTAATTGTCCAAAGGTTAAGCGAGCGAAGATTTTATTGCGGATAATACCATTATAATGCCGATCGCTGGAATTCGTATGGTAGTCATCTTCCTCTGGAATCATACTCGTGTCGATTTGCGATGGGTCGTCTTCCTCCACAATCGGGACTGCACTGGTGTTGTAATCCCCGGTGTAAGCAAAGTCGAGGAGCTTCTGGATAAGGTCCGGATCATCCTCCGGCAGATCGATCGTGTTGGTGGATGCCTCCTGTTAAGCGCGTTAGCATTAAGCGTACTGGTCCAGTTTTGGGATTTGGAATTATATGCGGTGTTTAAGCCGTCTGGTAAGGCCGTCTAGCCAACCTTGGGCGGAAAGCTGGAGTTGGATGTGATGTACCTTGAAAGGTCCTCCACAAGCCTTTTCGAAAAACTTGGACTGAGAGCAGAGGATGATGCGGTGGACGTGGAAGACCCGGCCCTGACAAGTTATCGTAAGGTCGGAATATTTCTCCATGTCTGCCATGGCCCGCAGAGAGGAATAGAGAGG